AAAAGTACATTTCACGTCAAAAGGGGGCTCCAAACCCCGACCAAAATAAAAGTAGTTAGCATTTCTGGTGTAGCACAAACATTAATTAATCAGTCTGATGACTAGAAAGGGTATTCGAAAAGTCATATAGTTATAGGCACATGTACTTCCCACACTGTACTGTCTACTGAGCTATAGGGGAAAACATGAGTGGATTCATGAGATTGCATCCTGGAATTGATAATCAAGGATGTTCTTAACAGAATTTTGCAAATATTTATAATTTCACAAACATTTTGGAATCTCAAGTTAGTTATATATCATTTAACAGTACCCCCATTCGTTATAAAAGAACTCTTTTCCAAAGGCCCTAAATTGACAAACTAAACACGACAGACAGCTTAATAATTTACACTTATTAAAGAACAAACATTCATTACAATCGACAACCTGATTATCTCCCCAAGCTGATATCTGGTGATCTTAAATTGTAGGCAACGTACTGTACAGACACCTTAAATAATTGAGTTCTTTATAATTAAACTGTCGATTATGTTCACATTTCTTTGTTGCTATACAGGTGCGTTACTAAGCAAAGTTTCAGTTTCAATATAGATACTACCTGAAACTCAAATAAATCAGTGTTCAGTCACAATATGTAACAGCCATTATTGTCAATGGTACTTCTGATTGTATTCACACGTTCTACATGGTACAGCAACGGAAACTACCGGGCTTTGCAATTGAGGGTTTTAGTGTTTGCGTGATATACAAAGCGAATACATGATATTGTGTGACAATAGCTGTTTTTGATATTAAATGTTCATAGATTCATGAAAAATAAATGAGGAAATGAATGACAGCATTATGTGGTGTTGTTAACATGTACATTTTAAAATTGTAACAAAAAGATATACCTATATTACTTTCGGGAAGAAAGGCTTGTGTTACACTTAACATATTTTTTTATGAACAAAAAGTCTGAAACACCTGATTTTAAGAGTTAGGAAAACCAACATGACTTTAACATTAAACTGATGTCAAATAACGGCACAGTTTACATCATGGATCCTAAGGCGGTGTTGGATTTTACAGAACCCCATTCCGATCAACTTTATTTAAGCAGAGTCTTCTAATAAAATTAGCTCCATGATTACATTTTCAAATGCTATTAATACTTTAAAACGCAGTTTTAAAATAATGAATTGTTACGTTAGTAAGCCTTTAATCCAGTAACGACGGGCAGATTGTTTCATCGTAGCATAATTTGTGCTCTGGCAGGGGCCTGCTAATACACCAAGTCCAAGCTTAGTACATGTATGTGCAGTATTCCAAATTGTCTCAGTATAAACTCTTTTTTAGGTATTTTTTTCTACCGTAAGTGCCAGGAAGATGACTCGCTGTTTACCATTGTTGCTTGCTTGCTTGGTAGGGAATTAAATCCAGATTCAGTCAACGACCGGTGGTTTTGGTCCAGCGGGCAGCGTGAATAGTTCCCGAGAAAAATAGCCAGAAGACCCTGGGCCTATTGAATTGTTCGGCGTATTGAGAGGGTGCGGTGATGAATAGGGTGATGTGAAGGAATGAATGGGTTGGCAGACTGGTAAAAAGCCCAGGCATCAATACAAAGCTTTTTAACCCGGGAATAAATCAAGAAGAGAATTTATGGGGGAGGGTTTTCACCGCTTTAGAAAAGCTTTCTACCATGATATGTAATGAAGTTCTGGTAAACATAGCTACTCCAAACTGGAACTGATGTTACTTCGATACGCATGATTTTTGAAACCCTAACACTTAGCGTTAAGAGAATAACGAAACAATTCAATGTATTTATAAGAATACATAATAATTAATCACACATTATCATCTATATAGCCCCTTGGTCTGTGTAGTATATATTGTGTTTAGTGTGTTGTTGCAGGAAGATCTGGCATGCTGCTGCATCAAACATATAATCGACAACTTAAGTAATAGGCCAAATTATTGTCTGGAACGTCGAAGCAAACTTGAACTTTACTTTGCAAATGCATAGAATATATTCCGTGATTTATGGATGTTCGTCCACTCAAAACTTATCGAATTGCGAAAAAAAAAATTATTAGAAATTCTTTAATCTATACATTTGTTATTTCCCGCCGTTAAAAGTTTCAAATGTTACTGTGCATGACTTGTCCACAACCGCGGGGGTCGACTATATATCGTAGTAGGTACAGGTTCCAGAACCATGGCCCAGTATACACTATTTACGTAAACGCTTGCAATCGACATCCATGTAAAATTCATTTACATTTTTGGCGGATATACCGCCTTTAATAAATGGAGTTTGCAAGAAGCATAACATAGCATTATTTAAGTCCTCATACAATGTTTTTGTAGTATAGGTGTTCCCGGCCAATTTCCTAAAATGTTTATTCACTTTTGAAAATCGGTCGTTCATTTTCGTCTGAATTTGAGAATCGCTCTGAACACGCGTTTCATTTTCGCTACAAGAGCATTCGATTCCATTTCAGTCCAATCAATTAAGTGATTGAGCAGCACCTTTCGTTCATGTTCATTCAGATTCGTTTACAAGACTTCGTGTTCGTTTTTAGAGGGCCATTTCAAACATTGACCATTCTATTTCACTTTTAGTTTAATGTTCTGTGATGTAATCTGCTAATTTGGATGAGAAAAACGTACTTTTGTTTGCACATTCACAAAATTGTATTCCAGAACTCTGCGCGAAAAGGTATGCTTGCGTAAATGAATGCACAGGAAACGTAATTGGCCGTCTGTTTCTCAAAACCGAATGCACGGACAATGAAAACATTGAACTTTCGTTGAATTGAAATGGGATTAAAGATGTGCATTCATATTCAGACGAAAATGAATGACCGATTTTCAGAAGTGAATGAACATTTCAGGAAATTGGTCGGGAAAACCTATATTAAAAAAATATTTGGAATTGTTTTCCTAAGATAAGAAATGAATTTTAAAATAATGAATTTGGGGCAGCAAGGACATGTACCGTGTGTGTATTAAGTTAGTGGAGTTCACAATGTTTATCCCCAAAATTAATAGGTGATAATCACCCGATATAAAGCGGTAGCCGACGGGGTTGGTATCACCTTCTCAATCTGTTATCAAGTGTTGATGTTTCGTTCACGTTATCGCATTCCGAGACTGACTCGTGACAGGCTCGCGTGCGAAGACTTCCTGGCAACCCGATGTTTGTATCGTGTATCATGGCGGGGCGCAAGAGCCAAAACACCCATCCCAGTCAGTCCCACACACGCTTAGATTACTCGGCGTATCGGATGATAACGAATGAAACTGACACCGCTGTTACTATACTGCGGTTGATACCTTGTGGGTTTGTCTTTGCCTTCAATCTACTGCATATTAAGACTTATACCAATGTAAGAAAAGACTTAGACGGTAAAAGGGCTTTGATGGACAAAAGTATACGCACTTTTAAATTCATTTTCTGTAAAGAAAAACAAGATATTTGAATATCTACTGAAACTTTCTTTTGAGAGAAAATCTCGACTGAATTTGAAAATGTGATGGGACCTAAATCCCACGTAAAATCCTAACGAATGTGAAACAAATAAATCACATTAGAGCTGGGATTTTTTATTTCATAAAAAACGGATTACCACTAAGTCAAGTTTTAAATTCATTTTTTTTACAGGAAATGAATTTAAAATTGCGTACTAAAGTTGTGTATGCATTTTTATATGCAATTACCGATTGTTATGGAATTTTTGTGGAATTAAAACAAACATTCATGTTTTGTACCTATGCAAAGATTAATGAAATGAAGCGTTCCGTAACTGTGAGTGTAAATATTCCAGTTAGGTAGATGGAGAAAAAAAATTCGTTACCGAAAACTTAACATTTTACGTGACGCGCCTCCGATTTATAGGGAATTTGTGTCAAGATGTCCGCAAGACATTAATTTCAAAACTCGTGAAGGCCTGACAAGAAAACAAAATCCAATGCAATGGGATTGGAAGAAAATGTGCAGTAGGCGAATTTCTCCCCCGGTCCTTTTCAAAATTATTTTACCTTCTGTTGTGGTTTTTTAAAGTTTGAACATTTATTGTTTCACTATTTCACGATACATACTTAAAATTTGACAACACATTTAGGCCTATATTTTTTGCATTTTATAAATTTGCTTTAAAATAAATAGCGTAAAAATTGTGTTATTACACTGAAAAATACATAAAGAAAACCCCTTTGATAAGTTCATTTATGTAAGTCAATTCAGTAGTCAACAAATCACGGATAAGTAACTAAACGTGGACAATGGTCCTTCCACTGACCATGGATAGTGCTTTTAAACTCACCGAGTTGGTGGCTTACAATGCTGTACAAATGGATATTGTTGGCAGTTTATTGTGGTTTTTGTTCAGGCATAAATACAGCCTGATAAACGAATTGGAAGAGATAATTGTTGTCAGTCCTAGGCTCAAGTTTGTTAAAGTAAATTAAAACAAGATTTAATACAGACAAGCTACAAGAGAGAAATCCACTACATTTAATGTCATCCCATGGAAACGGCCAAACTACTGAAAAGGAATGGGGTACAATTTTTTAAACTTTTTTTCTGTACCTAGCCTGTCTCACCAAACATCCCACGTTACAGATATTTGCAAGTTGATTGGCACGTGGGCAGTATGTCAGTCAAAGAGCAGTTTTGCGCGCGCACCTGCAGCTGTGTTCCAGCTTGTTTGAGTATGGTTGGCATGACAGGTCGACCCAGCTTGGTTAACTATTCATAGGGCGGCCTAACTGCCCTGTGATTGGCTGGTTGGTTCCGTTGCCTTTGTGCACGCATTGATAGCGCTCCAAAGGGAACACCCTCACTGCTGCTTATCATAACAACGCAGCCAATTATCACTCTGCAACGTCACCTGTCAACGGGATGACATCAGCAGTGCCCTGCATAACAATAGGACTTCGGTCGTCAAGAACGCTCGCGCTGATTGGCCAAAGCCGGAATAATTCTCCCTCTGCCAATCAATTACACATGGACGTGATATCCAAAGAGGGCTAAAAATAACGAGAGTTTCACACTGAACAGTCGCAGTTGTAGCGTAGCTCCCGTACGAAGAACGGCTATCGTCAGTAATTTCACGTTCGCTGAATACGTTTACAATCTGTGTTTTACTACCAAACTCAAAGCTCGATGTATAAGTCCACGTCGGAGATGATGGAGCAGACGGAGTTGAAGCCTAACATCAGTGTATCTTCGATGTCCAGCCCCACACAGTCCCTCAGCCAGGGGCATCACGGCCCACCTGGTACTCCCATCATGGTGGGCACACCCAACACCCCAAACAGTGGCGGTAAGAACACTCCTAATGACCGAGTCAAGCGGCCTATGAACGCCTTCATGGTGTGGTCTCGGGGCCAACGTCGTAAGATGGCCCAGGACAACCCCAAGATGCACAACTCCGAAATCAGCAAGCGACTTGGCGCCGAATGGAAGTTGCTGTCGGACGAAGAGAAACGACCATTCATCGATGAGGCCAAGCGTCTGCGGGCAGTCCACATGAAGGAGCATCCCGACTACAAGTACCGGCCACGCCGCAAGACGAAGACCCTGATGAAGAAAGAGAAGTACGCCCTACCAGGCATGATTTCACCGGGACAAGGACCACCAGGTATGCAGAGACAAGTACCTGAAGGTATGCAGGGTTACCACCATTTGAATGGTTACATGAATGGTGGATATCCTATGATGCAGCATGAACAGCTGCAACATTTGCAGGCCCACAGCTTCAGCGGCTCACAAATGGCCGGTAACACAGGACTCCATCCCCGCTACGACATGGCGGGACAGATCGCCTACCCACCCATGACATGCGCTCCAGGGTCGGCCTACCTGAATTCCGCCAGTTACACCACACCTTACGCCTCCCATGTCCAAATGCAACAGCCCTCGTCCAAGGCAGAGCAAGTGTCAGACCGGGCAGCTGCCGTGGCTGCTGCACGAAACATGCCCGGTGATTCGTTGAAAGAGATGATCAGCATGTACCTGCCAGGAACTGACTCTAACGACCCAAACACACAGAGACAACACGCAGCGGCCATGCAGGCAGCTTACCATCAGAGTGTGGCCGGTGCCAACGGGACAGTCCCATTAACACACATGTAAGACACAAACATTTTTTGTGATACTAGTATAGTGAACGGGCACTATAAACGCCATTTTAAGACACTAGAACTTTGGACTTGAGTTGCCTTTACCGATTTCCACGCGGACAATGTGGTCGGGTTGGCAGGTTTTGGGAGTCTTCCCGCGCTGTATATTTTGTAACATTTTTGAGTACACGGGGTCAAGTTAAACCCGCAGACGTGTGTTATTTTATACATAAAATGCTAACACAAGAGTTTACACCCTAAAAATGCTGTACCTTGATTTAATTTATCTTGGATTGTTCAGTTTTTAAGCTCGGCTTTGCAAAGTTCTGTGTAAATTTCGGCAACCATTTTAGTATTTCAGTTTGAAGCGAGTGTTCTTTAGTAACTAGAGTGGCTATATTTTCACCTACGCAAAGTTGGTTTGTTAAATGGCCGTGCTAAGTTTGGAATTGTGATAGTGGATTGTAAAGTTTGTTAAAAATGTCATCTTCTGAATGCCTACAAAAATTCAAACTAATGGTTTTGCCATTTATTTTTTGTTAACTTTGTATAACTGTTTGAATTGAATTTGAGGGCATTGGCCCCAAAGATAACCATATTTTTTTGTATATATTTGCACAGTTGTAATTTAGACTTTGTTTGCCTTCACTGAGACTCAGTCTTGCACAAAAAATGTGAAATGACTGACCCACATTAAAATAATTATTTTTACTTCAAGCTGTACAGAAATAACCAGACATTGCTTGTTTTGCCACACTGGGAAATCCCCCGACCGCCAAACTTTAAGCCTTAAGATTTCGTTTCAATGTCTCACTCGTATGTATTGAAAGCAGAAGAATTGCTTTTATGCCGTCTATTCAACGCAACGTTGGGCATCCCCGTGCGGTTGAATTGTAAATGCTAGACTGGCCCATTGATATTTATCCACACTAAATATTGTTTCATCATGGAGGACCTATGGACTGTAGGGGACAATGGCGCGCTTTTTTGCCTTCACAATGGCGGAGTGACAATGGAAACAATGCAGTATTTGGACGAGGGAACCCCTCGCCTTGTTAGTAGCCACTTCGCTTGGGTTCGCGCTCAGAGTACACATTTTTTTTCATGATTTGGCTTTGGATAAGCGCTGTCATGTGGTTTATAGTTAAATGCAACTAACGAGGTGGATGGTTTCCGATTTTAAACGGTGCTTCGCATTTTCAGCGGTGCATTATAAAACAAATTATTTGAATTAGTTTATAGTTGTGTTATATACTTTGGGTGGTTTATTTGGAGGTTTTACCTATCATGTTGCTTTTTAATTGTGACACATCATCACTTGAGTCATAAACTGAAAGTTATAGCTAGTTAGATAATTCTTGTATTTCCATGTTACTAACGATTTTCAATTGCGCTCTGTCAAATTTCATTTCAAATTTGATGACTTCTGTTTGTCTTAAGGAAATAAACGGGCTGAATGCCATTTGTAATGTCAGGGTAAAATCAACTATGGTTATGCTTTCTTGTTTTTCCTTTTAATTGTTAAACACAGCATTCAACAAAATATTTTTCACCGTTACATTTTTATAAAAGTTCAAATTCTACCCCCACAAAATTAGAAAGAAGCACATTGATTTTCCTTTTTCATAGATACTTAAAGTATGAATGGTGTCCAATGAAAACCTATGTTAACCAAGAGTGAAAAGATAATTCAATGTTTCCGTGAATGAGGTGGGGTATGGGTTTCTTTATGAAAGGGGTGATTGCGCATTTCTTTCACAAAGCTTCTTGATCACACTAATTGAACATTTTTTGGTTCAAATAGTTTTCTTTCTTTGTTAAGTTAAGCAAATTATTTCACAAATATGAACTTATTTGGAAATTAAGTATTTCTTCGGTTTGAAGACGATATACAACGTATCGGTGGCGAATGGGTTAGAACTGACTTGCCAAAGAAAACGGTGCTGTTGAGGTTTGTTAACGGACCCATATTGGCGGCCGTCGGATCTGATTGGTTATGCCCGAGTGATCTGCACCGCCACCGTGTGCGCCTCGAGCACTGCGCCAGGCACCGCTAATAACACAGCGCGCCAAAACATATGTTTTGGCGGGAAAGATGGATGGAGCCGCAGTACCAATTCATTTCTGATTACCATCCGCGTATTATTGGCTTGCATGTTGTTACATCACGAGCTTGAGCTACTTCGGCGATGTCTATTGTGAATTCTTCGTGCATGGCCCGTCGTTGCACGTAATGAGTTTTCAATTAAGACAGTCAAGTTGGCTTACATCAATGGGGAAAAGCGAATAGGCTCAACAATTGAAAAGGTACACCAACTAATGCTGTATGAAACTGGAAAGCTGTCAAATGACTTTAAATATTGGAACAATAATACTCGCAGGGTTACTATTTTAAAATTTAGGAAAATGATAGATGTTAAGCATGATTTTATTTAATGCTACATTTTCCTTGACAATATCATTTATAATCTACCCTACATAAAGTCAAATAATATAACCATCGAGAAATGCAATCGCTTTCAATTTGAAAGGTTCATTAAAGAGTAACACTTGCGAGTTTGACGAAGAAATGGAGATGCGGTCGAAAAAAAACTTCGTTCTTCATATCACTTTAATACGATAATCCACTGTTAACATTAGTTTTAAGGTTTTCTTATTAAAGCTGTGCAGAGAGAAACCTCTTGCCCTCCTGGATTGAAACCTCGATGTGTTTCCCGCTGTCCAAAATTATCTCGCTACACTCAAGAGTGAAACTGCACCCTTCGAAACCAAAGGATTGATGATGATTTTATTGATTTAGTTGTTTCGGGGACATCGCGTTAATTTGCCAGTGCACTGGGATTTGGACCCTTGACAACGGGAAGATGAGTCGACACTGCCCGGGGCTGAGAGCGCAGTTTGCCCGGGATTTGCTCATCTCAATGAGCGTTGCCCTAATTTTAGGGGTTTGTACACTTCAACTGTGGTGCAAACTTAGCGTATTTGGCGCGTAGACGGATCGTTGAACTCAAGGCGTTAGCTGATCCCGCTTCATTGTTTACCGACCCATTTTGTTTGTACGTACACAGTTAAATGTGTTCTACAAACAATACATTTACATATAGGTCGTCCACTTATTTATTTTGCTTAAGCATTATTGTTGGCACGGCTTCTCGAAAGGAAATGTACATGTACAGTATTGTACATGTAAAGCACATGTACATGTACATGCATCCACAACTGAACCCATGGTGCAACCGAAGGGTGTGATTATGCAAGCCGCTGTTGTTGTTTTTTCTGTGCAACATGTGTTCAATGCGTATTTGCCCGAAGCACAGAAAACCAATTATTTTATGTATGGAAATTCTAAAGAAACCTTCTGTGTTAATTTGCGTTTACCAGATCAAAATAATTATTTCTTCAAAGCATCGACAAATATTGACTACTTTGAGAACAAAGGACCGCAGAGGCTTAGTTCCTGGCAGATGATAATTGAGAATCTAACAACACACATTCGTCACATTCTCCACTGCTCCCCCCCCCCCCGCCAAAAAAAATTAAACTGGTTTTTATTTGAGGCATAGACATATACATGTACATGTAGTAGTCACAATCCTATTTCACTCCTTGGTGTAAGCCCATACACGTGCGGCAATTTGTGTGAGCGCACATGAACACATACGGGTGACACTTTATTTTTTAAATTCTGTCATACCAATATTTATGCATTTAAAGAAGTGATATTTCCCGGAAACAGTTTTTCAGATCAAATTCTGTATCCCCTGATCATTTATATCAAGATTACAGATTAATTCAGTTAGAAATCGGTGTCATGCCTAGCGGCTGTCTCGGTATAAGTATCGCAATAATCATGGTGGTGTAATCATGTAATATTCTTTCCCGGTGTCATGGAACTCCAAATGAAAAATACATTTTCGTAAGACCAATTATAAAACAGCATTGTGAATCGGTATACCATATAATTCTTGGAGTAGAACTGACGAATTTGATATTGTATACAATGATGACGAAACAAGTAGTGGATGCACGAACTGTTGAGTACATGTCCATATGCAGTCAATTCCTCACAGGTCAATCACTAGTCATCCAGGTTGGTCTCGAGTTGAATGGTGGCAACTTTACTTGTGTTGTATGGTGATATGATTTGTGACTGCATGGACTTGCGATGGACTTGACAACTCTGGTATGTATGTTAAGCATATTGAGACGAATCTCAGTACATCATGCGTATATGTGACCCGATATTGAACTATTGCCATTTTTCTGGGTACCAAAATACTAAACGAGCGGATAGATGGAACATTGTGAATGCCCGTGTGTATGACTACACATATTTTTTCAAAGCACCGAAACGCGGGCAGGAGACCTCGTTCGGGTTATATAGAGGGGTAGTCAGCTACTTGAACTTGAGCTACTAAGAATCGAAACTTGCGGGAACTGCCCCGCGTTGCAGTCCCGGACGGTGAAATTCATGCTTCTTGAGGGGGAAAACTTTTCAAAGCGCACCCTTTCGTTGAAACTTACCTCACGCCATCCCTTTTTTAACCTGGCGAAAGGGGGGGGGTTCACTTTTTCCTATTTTGCTTTTACCTCCGGACCCACCCTATCCGGCAAGCCATCTGCAACGCGTAAAACCCTCGGTTTAAAATCAAAGTTAACTTATTATAAAACTTGAGGGCAAATGAATATTAAACTCAGTCTGCTTCGCCATTCGATTATGATCTCAATGCACTTACTTAAGAACTGTTCAATGTTTATTTCGCGATGGAGGGTTGGGTCTGGAATAAATTCCTCAAATAAGTTGTAGCTCCAGAATTAATTATAGGGGCAGATGTGTTTCTTTGGTAGATAAATGCGCTTCAAACAGTATCTTATGCGTAGAAATGTGAAGGCATAAAGCGCTGTTAGGTAGAATTTGGACACAAAAAAAATCATTTAACTCTTGCAGTGGACTACAACCTTGCTACTTTACTGTTTGTTCTCGTTGTTTCAGTGTACTGAGACGTGCAATGATGACCTCAGAGCTATTTATTCATGTTTGGTTTCCAAATTAAAACAATGAGGCGTCTTTTAATCTTATTTCAAATAGAAACACCTGTAGACTTCACGCGGCTCGGCAACTCACATAATAATAGAATGAAATCATGATTCTCAAACCGACTGATGTAATTTCCTCCGTGTTTCAATCGATGACATGGAATACAGTCTAAGGATTCCAGAGAGAAGTTAACATTTAGTTAAATGTATGCGTAATAGGGAAACTACCAAGACCAAACAACATATGATTGTATAGACGCTCGTTGCCTTGCAAGGTGTTCGGCCCTTTAATATCAAGACACACAGGTAATTAATATTGGTGATTAGCGTGCCGAGGAGCTATTATGGCTGGGCACCGTGCCCACTCTCAAGGCCGTCGGCTTTTGTCCTAACCCCCTCCCCTACAATGACGGTTGCTGTTGTTACTCTTCCGTCACAATGGATCTATTGTTCCGCTTGGCTATAAGCTGAATATTTTACTAACATTTGCTTCATTTCAGAGCTCGTTTGCAGCCATGCACACTTCATTGGCGTATAACGAAAACGTAAGACGTTTGCTCTTAGTTCTCAGCCTTATGACGAGAATCATTACATGACGTTGCTCTCAGAATTGACTTTGGTAAGTCGTTATTTTACTGTTTATTACAAAGAAACTTGAAAAAAATATGTTTACAAAAATATGTGTTTATATAAAAACGTTAAATTAAATAAAGTAGAATAGATCTCTCCCCAAAAAAATAATAATCTGCAAATTTTCGATTTTGCAGTGTTATCACATGCTTCGGGATGTGATGACACCAGTTTTCTACAGAAAATTAAATATTGGCATAATAATATCCTTTGATCCATGATTTTGCTATAATATGACATGGAATAATTCGAACTACTGGAACTTAAATTATCACTTATTTCAATTAGTAACACAAACCAATATTATGTAGTTTTTAAACAAATAGAACTGCAATGGCATTATCACCACAATCAAATTTAAATATTGGTTCTTCGATACCACGAGGACGTTTGTTTATTTGTACTGCTATTTCAGTGTTGTTGTAGGCCTAATTGTATAAACGTAAATACAACATAATGAAGCTGGGAATGGCAAGTGTAATATATTACTTCACTTTACTTGAGATGCTTTTAAAGCATATTATTTTATTGGTTCTGTTTTGTATTGTTTTCATTCCTGTGAGTGTAACTCAAACAAAGCTGCCAAACAACTTACTAACAAAAGTACCCATTGATTGTTTTTGTGTGCAGCTTTCAATGTATTTTCTTCAATAAACGAGTAAAATTACTCAAAGGTATTTTCACGCTCCATCAATAATGGAGCCGGGATTGGCTTTTTCAGTGTGTACGGGATTAAGTGCATTATTCTGAAGTCAGTAACCAGACTGATTAAATTAATGGAATCATTATCTTGCGTGACCAAACATGCATTCGATTCTTTGCCTTTCTGCGTGACGTTTTGTCGTTTGCTTTCAAACTCAACACATGTTCTGTAATTATATCGCTCCAGAAATTGGCTTAGTTCCCTCAGACTGAACAATCCCTTGGGCAACATTGCCAACCTTTCAATTAAATCATAATAGCGGATCGGAAATATTTCCAAAGAGTCCATATTTTGCCGTTATGTTTGGCGCGACTAGCTTGAGAGGGATGAGAGTAGTCTTTCACGCTAGCGCCAATTTCTCCCCAAACATGCTACAAGTGCTCTCCACTTCAAGGCCGTTGTCTGCTAACGGAAATTGTCTGCGATAAAACAACGAACTGTTTTAATGAAAATCAATTATACGATAAATCTTGTGCTCAAATGAGGAATTTAACAAATGCGAACCACATTTCAAATCAAACGATTAAGTACATGAATATTATTTGTCACAAAAAATGTAATGGTATTAATTTGATCTATTTAAATCAAAATATTAAACCGTGGATGGGTCATAATCACAATGGAAATGTTATATAAGTGTCATTGGTACAATATTGAAGAGGAAGACATCCAAAAAGGAATGAGTAATAACTGATGTGTTTTATGCCAACCTGATAACTGAAATATATAAGGATTTCGTGATTTGAAATCGGAACCCGTGTAATTATCCTTTCATCATCAATCGATAGGCATCGCTAGTATTTAAACATTTAAGATGTACATTTTGAGAACCTAAATAATGATTTGATTAATTATTTATTCAGTTATAATGTTTCAATGCCGTGTTCAGTATGTATCGTAAGTATTTTGTTTTGCCTAAAAATCCAATATCTTCGTAATGAATTTTCTGAAAAATATGATGTCATTTTTGTCTTTGAATCTTGTGTTTTTTCTGTCGGAGAAATTAAACTAGCTTAACAATTTATTGCATTACCACTTCGAAACAGTCGTTGGATTTAATCAATATTCTGAGCCACGATTTATAAATATAAAAGACTATCAGTCAAAGAAGAACGCTGTATAATGATCAGCTGGGTATTTGACACGGTGGTTGAATTTGTTGACGTTATTGGGTCAAAATGGAGAGAGAATCCCTCCAGCCATTATTCCATATCAAGTAAGGCAAACAATTAAAACTAGGTGGCAGTTCTGCTGGGCCATTCCGGTCGCCTCACCGCGCTCCATTCTCCACAATATCCGCTTTAATTTCAATAACACCCGCTCAATATTGTTACACGCTTTCTATTACGAAGGCCATTATTGTTCCATTTTAAGAGCTTCAAATGAGTCTATTTTTATGGAAATTCAAGGGAATGTGCATGCACACATACACGAGCCAGCCATATTCAATAGTTATTTTTTTCTTCTTACTCTATATTGTTGTGGCACACACAGAAACCCTGCGCTCGGCATTATGTGCGTATTGTGTATGGCTCATATTAGTTGGATTTTGTTCTTTTCTCTCGATGAAGCTCAATTCTTTGATTAGGAATAACAGTGCCTGACGGGCGTCGGTCGAGACTAGTTCTCTACTAGCAAGTCAACACGCAACACGCAGTCACAATCGGCTTGTGTTGTATCCCTCCCCGATGCAGCATTGAAGTCTTTGATTTTCCGAAGGATGCATATGGATGATAAACTCCAAATTATTACGATGCAACATGAAGTAACTCTGTGTTTGTCCCATGCATATGTCGTGTTGTGCCCACATGTCTACATGACGGGCGAACCAAGTTGTCCCTAATTTCGAATGGTGAGTAAACTATCGTTTACTTGTGGATTTCCACCAATGATTTTTTTTTACAGTAGAAAATGTTTTTAAAAATGAATGAAAATTGTTCATGAAAAAAAAAGATGTCGTTTTCTTTCACTATGAAGACAATCAAGTAGTGTTGTACCAACGATAGTAACGTGGACAACTTTTGATGCATTTTAAATCACCCTGTTAGTTTTTTTTTTTTTTTGATGAGTATGGCTGCGTTTGGATTCGCTAAATCATAACGGTGAAGATTATTTTACGAACTTGTGTAAAATAACTTAAATTTGCTGTACAGTATTATAAACTTCCTAACCAGCACGTGTTATGATGTGAAAATATTGTTATTATTATTTAATTTAATACTGAATGAATTTCATCGTACATGTACATTTCAGTTACCGAGTTTCGGAGGTTTGGAAGAATAATATTGTATTAATATAATCCATCTTTGCCGCTTTGTTTGATTCTGCAAATTTGTGTCACTTGTGTCCTTGAAACAGAGATTGCTGTTTTTGTTTTGTTTTGTTTGCTTACATAATGCTAATGACACCGAAGACTGTTTTCTCAATTCGGTGTTCACCTTTGGCCTAAGTGCTCCTCATAAGAGCGCATCGTGTATGAAGCAAAAGCAAATGAATGTGGGCCTATTTGTATCCTTTTAACAGTGTTTATTCTAATTAAACACAACTCGTCTTAAATAAAGACATATTGTAATTTTTGAAATACTGTAAATGGTTCTCAACCTATTTCGTCCATAAAACACGATTACAAGGCAAACTCCTTTTCAAGCACACGCCTATAGGCCCTATATATACATTCTTGGTAAAGTGCCTGAAATAATTGATAAAAGCCGAGCACACAGAAAAATAATACCAACATATAATTGCCCCTAATAATAATTGCCGGTGATGATTTGTACCAGAGCAACAGGCTGTCTACATAACGTAAACATTGCAGCTTCATCACATACACCCCGTGTCAGGCAATGCAATATGCATACATATTGCGCTAACACGTGCGGCCAACCTGTAGCAAAAGACTTAATTAGCTGTGCAGCATCACGCAATCAATACGCAACGCTTGCTGCCGAGTTTACAATGTGGACCTCCACCGTGGCTCAAATTATGTGTTTTTGGTTGATACTGGCATCTAATTGCCAGTAATTACTGACACGTAGGATGACGGCATCAAAAACTACTGCAAGTCCGATATACGGACTAACTATGCTGCAACGGATTGACTGGGATCACGTATAAAACCCTCCCAGCTGTAGTCACAATTTGAATCATATTAATCCAAGTTCAGCTGTCCATGTAGCATTGATGCATCCTTTGATAAGTTATTCTGTCGCTGAATAATTCTGGTGTAAGTTCCATGATTAGAAAGCTTGCCAATATTGTTTTACCAATGCAAATAAAACTTACACATGAACGGACAGAAGATCATTGATATCATCGGCCCATTATGACCAGGTCCTTAGGATTTTTGTGCATGTAATTAACAGATATATGCTGTATAGGGATCACACGAAGGCAGAATAGCTTTAGGATTTCGTTAAGCATTCTTATTTTCTATATCGATAGAATTATAAAATATCATATGTGAATGGAGAGCAATTAAGTTTTAAAAATGCAATCGTCCTTTCTTAGACATTCTGTTCATGCTTATCCTCAGTGGTCTGGTGAAGACAATGATACACGGCGAAGCGATTGGTGCCTGGTTTTGCAATAAATTATTCAAACGAACCGCACATTTCGATTTTTCTTATAAGCGGGCGACTTCCGCCACAACAAACACAGTTCGACGACTCTTTACCGATAAATAATTCAACTTAACTTAATGTGTAAATGGAAGGAAAGCCGACGAAGATCTAAATAGAAACAAACTCGCTCATTTAGAGCAATTAATAGAAAAGGTTGTGAAATCGAAGACAAATAATCCAATGTGATCTTACCGCTGAACATTTTAGGTTTTCTTCCCAATTTAATAAATAACAGTTCTTGGTAAATTGGTCTGAGACAACAATTTGTTCGATTTATTTTAACAGTACATACAACAGTCGTTTGGGTTTGTATCTCCGCAATCAGTCATTTGCTATTAATACGCGCCTTGATCAACATACATAATGAAAGTAAACCATCAATATAGGCAATATAAAACATCGCATTCATCCCATAGAATTAGCAGTTTCTTGTGATTTCTACTAGTAACCTTAAACTCTTCCTATTAGGAACCGAGAAATGCTTCATGCGTGTCACTGATGGAACACATTCACCATTTACTCTTTGGTCCGGTTATAGGTCTGTTGATTAATGCAGTTTGAAGCAAAAGCTTGAAGAATTGCAAAATATATGTTTGAAATATCTCATCAGACCGAACCATGTTGCTCGCTCCCAACACATCTCATTTAGCCTACAAAATAACGTAATTGATTTGATGTATTAAATCAGTATTGACATTTTTGTTTCTTAGAATTTCATTAAGATTAAATGCGTCGCGCGATGGAAACAATAAAATCTAGAAGATGGCCTTAATATGTGATTTAATCACCAAGCATTTCAAAGCTACGTAATCATTATTGATGCATAACCGAACGAGCCGAAAATTCTAATCTTAACTGACATTGCCAGTGTGTGAAGAAATATCAGTAAAAATTAAATGATTGTGGTTGTAAAATGAACTAAAACTTGAAATCCCTGCATATATATAAACAAAATGCAGTTACTGAACACTTGTCAATTACCAGGGACGGGTTCAGGTTTGTCTCAAGGTCGAGGGGGTCAAGGGGGAGGGGTAGCCGTCAAGGGGGAGGGGGTTGCTGTCCATGGGGAGGGGGTTGGTGTCCAGGGGAGGGGTAGCTGTCTAAGGGGAGGGGTAGCTGTCAAGGGGGAGGGGTTAGCTGTCAGGGGGAGAGGTTAGCTGTCAAGGGGGAGGGAGGGGGTAGCTGTCAAGGGGAGAGGGTAGGTGTCAAGGGGAGGGATAGCTTCAAGGGGAGGGCTGGCTGTGAAGGGGGAGGGGTAGGTGTCAAGGGGGAGGAGTCGCTGTCAAGGGGAGGGGTGTCATGGAAGGGGTAGCTGTCAAGGGGAAAGGGAAGCAGTCATGGGACTTTTTTCTGCACGATTTTCCTATTTTTGAGGCCCGTGGGAGAGACCTATGACATGGTGTATTTGTGTGATCATCGTTAAATGTAAAGTTATTTTTCACGTTGGTGATGATTTCCCTGTAGTTTTTGTAATGCAATTATTATCCAGTAAATAGTTACATTTCTAGCAATGGAATGATTTTCCACCAAATCTATTCAGTTTTCAAAGGATGTGGTTTCTTGTTGTCTGTTTTCCCATTGGGATCTGATATGGATTCATGCATGGTAGGCAACAATATGCTGCACGGTGTTTGGAAATTCCGCCACTGGAACGAATTCGGCGCGAAATCGATGACGTGAAGGAGCCATGAAGTGAAATCATATTTTGGATAAATGTAAATATATACTTCTTTTGCTTATGTCTCAGTAAAAATTGACCCGTAATTAGTTGTCATGACTTGTTCCTGTTATTAGCTCAAGAAATATTTGAACGTTCGTGACTCCGTAGGCCTAATTGTGGAATGGCATTCGTGGTTATTAACGATCATCTGGGCCGCAAAACCACAGCTGATTTGTTCGTACATCGCTACGACAAAGGATTACACCATTGCCAGATTCTCGCATATTTCAAGAATGCACATTGATTATTTTTCCGTTAAAAGTGGTCGTCTTGACAACAAGCCAGACACGCCTACCCTCAGCGAAATGCCAGTCTTCATTAGTTCATTAAAAACGCTTCCTCATTTTTCATTTCCGGGAGGTCTCGGCGGGGGAGATGGACCTCTGGGGAGCGTGAGGTAGTAGCAGGAGATGAAGAGGGAAATGGAAGCAGTCAAAGATGAGAGATGATGAAAGGGCTATCAAGGGACAAGTGAATGGTATATATGGATGAGAATAGGGATTGAAAACGTACCTAACCGTCGGAATTGCTTATTGTAAATTTGCATTGTTTGATCTTCATGATTGTTTTTAAACAAAAATTGGAAAATTTCATGTCAATGGTGGTTGTTTGTAGAAATAGTACATGTTACACATAGTGTGCAGCTGTCTATAACAATCACAATTTAAGCGCATCAATCACTGTATCATACTGCGAAGTTGCTGCTTGGAAATAACTGTTGACCCACTCAAGAAAATTATCTTGTGGCTAAAAATACTAACCCGTGGCGTTATCATTATAAACCGAATTGCACAAACAAACTTTGGCGATGTGCAGTCTACTGCAAACTAAGTTAGACCCAAGGGACTAAATGTAGTGCGGAATCTATGTGATCATTCTGGAAAGAAAACTGTTGTTTTAATGACGTCACCACCTTAAGGCTCGGACAACGCTAGCAAAAACATATCGTAAAATGCGGTACTTTATTCGGAAAACGCGTCGAGACAGCATCACCTGCTCTTACGTAAAATGTTCCGACGCCTGTTTTATGTAGTACATTATATTATTTTTAAACTCTATGAAATCATGGGTTTCTTGATTTTAAACAATGAAACATGTACGTTAAAGTAGTGTGAGAAAGCACGAGAAAGCAAATGCAAAAAAAAACTACTTTAACAAGCAATTGTCGTTTATCTGAAACGAAACTGGAAAATATTTTAAAGTTAAGTTATGTCTCTGTCAGATGAGCTTTCTGTTGTCACTTGCTCCTTGCACTTTAATGTAGGTTTAGAAATGTGCATAGTCCATGCACGATTATATATCAGCCGTCTGCTTGGCAGCGCTCCGCTCGGCTCCATGGTCCCACCTGCCGGATGATAGCTGGATGCCAGGCCGTCCGGCCAGTTAGGTCGCCAGTCCAACATGTTGTCGTTCCTGCCTCCCATACGGACACCGTGTGGTGTTTAGAAGCGTGAAGTAATGAAGCATGTATCACTGGACAGAAACAAAGACAGTACGACCGGCGCAAAGGCA